TATAAAAATAAAAAAGTGAAGAAATGGAAGATTTGGGTTGACAGTTGTTGTTGAGTTGCAGATCGGAAATCCTCTTCTGGACATCCAAGTAGACGCGAATGCCCTAGACCAGTACTGGTGGTCTCACGGCCTCATCTCCGACGCTGCCTTCCACCTTCTCAATTCCGTCTGCAATGCATCTCGTCTCGTGACCGAAGGAATCACCAGTTCCCTCTCTCCCCACTGCATCTACGTCGCCACTAACGTTTCCAAAGAGCTCTCTGCTGCTATCGACTACTTCGATGTTGCCGCTGGCGACGCTTGTCCCTCCGTCAACGCCTCCGAGTTCGCCGATCTCGATCGCAACGATCCTCTGCGGTCCACTCTGTTCCGCGACTTCTTACATGGCCAGGTGATTTGATTCTTCTCGCGGCTTAGGGTTTTTTTTTTGGTTTTTCTTTGGCTGTGTGATCTGAAATTTTTGTTCTGTTCGATGTTTTGTGTAGACTACACGGGAAGATCGAGATCCGTGTGTGGGAGAATTTGTAGCGAAGTATTTGAATCGAAAGGATGTGCAGAAAGCTCTTCACGCGAAGGTCGTTGGATTTTCGGAATGGAGACGCTGCCGATTGAGGAAGTAAGGCTGCGATAAAACTTTTTTCTTTCTTTTGTCTAGATTTTCTTCTGAGATAATTGTGTTTGATTTTTTATCTTGATTTTTGTTTCGTTAGAGAATGGAAATATGATCTGAGGAACAGATTGGTGCCAACGATCGGTATCGTTGGCGCGCTCGTGAAGTCCAAAATTCGAGTACTAGTCTATAGGTACGCTAAATTCTACTTGCTCTATATACCTTCTTCAAATTTTCATTTTTGATTTCTTTACCAAAATCTTCCAATGTGAAAGTTAATAGCAACATTTCTAAAAATGTAACCGTAAATTTGTATTAAATAATTTCAATTGTATACAAGATTTAAGTTGAAATTTTGTAAACGAAGTCTTAAACTGTTACTTTTGAAAACTACCTGAACAAAAATAGACATCTTAAAAATATACGAACCAAAATTAACAAAGTTGAAACAGATCAAAATAAGCTAAAACGACAATTGTATAAAATAAATTACAATTAAATATAGCATTTGATCCATAATACTAATTAGGCACGAAATTTTTTTACTGAAATGTGGCAGTGGAGATCAAGATTCAGCTTTACCATTTACTGGGACTCGGACATTGGTGAATTCACTAGCTAAGTCATTGGATCTGTACCCAACTGAGCGTTACAGAGCCTGGTTTGCTGATAAAAAGGTCACTCACTTTTTCACTCAACCCAACAAATGCTGATCCAAAATTCTAACATTTTCTCTTTTTGCCTTTTTCATTGTCTCGTCTATGTTATTTTTCACTTTTCCTGATAACCCATTCTGTGTTCTTAGTCAAATTAAATTAACAAAAAGTGTCCGGTAACCATATATGTATATACTTTAGCTTTGAAAATTCCTTTGAATCCTATAATTCTTTTTTTTTTTTTTTTTTTTTTTTTTTTTTTGTTATAAGAATCAAACTTGCATACATATTGTTTAAGTGGTAGGTCCTATTTATTCTTTATAATGTTCATTTACGTTGGATTTAATATAATATATAAGTGATTCTAGGACTATTTGTTTAATTAGTTACAGGAAATAAAACACGTCGTATTATAATTCACTAGTGTATGTAAGTATGATCTGTTCTTCTTTTCTGAAATAGAAATTTTAGAACAAATGACATTGAATTTGGTGATTTTGTTCGATGAATTAGGTTGGGGGCTGGACACAAGTCTATGGGAAGTTCTTATCCTTTGCCATTGTGAGAGGTGCATCTCAAAGAACAGCACAAACTCAGCCCAAGAGATCTCTACTACTTTTCAAGTCGTTTTTGGCTGGAAAACCACTGCCGGAAGCCTGATCAGGTCTTTAGAAGGGAAGGAAAGAAAAAATAAATAAAATGAAAAGAAAACTGTCTTTTTTATGCTTCTTTTAGGGGGGTGGGGTCTGTCATCCCCACCTCCAATTACTCAGAAATCAGATTAAGAGCTTGGACAATTGAAGCTAATAAATTAACAATGGCTGTAAACAGAGATCATCTATACATGACTTCTGCTATGTAACTTTTCCCCACTTTAGTTATTTTGTATCAATGGTGATTTCAAGATATTATTAGCTTGAGAGGAGATCTGGTCGAAAGTTTCACAATTTTTCAAAATTTAAGGTTTGTTTTCCAAAATATTTTAATTAGAAACATTACTGGGAGTATTTGTTATGAGTTAAAATCCAATTTTTTTTTTCCATCTTCAACAACATTTCAAAATCAATTCAAGATTTAATTTTGCATATTTAAATGTAATTTTTATAGTAAAAGAACGGTTTTAATATTTATCCTAAACTTTAGATCGATCGATGTTGAACGATTGATATAATAATAATAAGAGTGAGTCGCTATAGATTAAGTAATTTTGACCATTTCAAAATTGTTGAGCTTAAAACATTTTTGGCATCATTATCTCATCCCAAATGTCTTAGGGAAAGATGAAGCAACAGAGAAGGCAAGAAGAGAGAGAGAGTTTATTTTAAATAAGAGTTCTCTACTGAATAATAAGAAAACAGAGCAACAGATTACAAAACTATGGCACTGCTGTGTTAACAACTTGTAATTTTCATGGCCTCACCAAGTTATATTACAGACCAATATCATCCCTGTTATTGCTATCCAAATAAGTCTATTTCCCTACTCTATCCAGCCAGATATAAAGCCAAAGCGTCTTCAAAGCTGAATCTCTAACATGTCAACTAAAAATCTTCTAAGCAGTACTACAGTACTCTAACCAGCTTCCACACAGGGCCAAGAGCTGCTTACCTTGCCACAGTAAAATTTTCGAGGTAACCGAGACTCCACCGAGCTTTCCAATTTTTGATAGCATTACATTAGAAAAGCCTAATGTATGCTATCAGCATGGACCAACCTCAGCTGCAACATGCTCTTTTAGATTGTTTGCAGGAGAAGACATACTAAAACTTCTACAGACCAAAAAGAAATCTACTAATTTACATGATAATACAAATTCTGAAATGAACTCTCAATTGGCAAGTAGAAATGGTATGGCCAATTTGACCCATTAAAGCTATTAATCCTTGAGTGAAGATTTGGCCCAAGTAAATTCTACCTGGAAACTTACTGCCTAGGAACGGGTGGCGGCGTCGACTGCTGGCCTTGCCCATAAAAACCTATACCTGGTGGCCGATAAAATCCTGCTGAAGTAGGCAGTGTCAGCTGAGGCTGAGGCTGCTGCTGAGGCGGCTGAGACATTGGCCTACTCAAACCCATTGCAATATGAGGAGGCAAAGGAGGTGGAGGTGGTAGAGAATATGCTCCAAAACTATACGGTGATACCCCCATTAATCCACCAGACTGCCCATATTGATTCACCGATGGAGTTGAGGATAAAGATGGTGGTGCTGGTGGAGGTGGTGGAGCAAATGAAGCTTGACATAGGTTCGCCTGGGATACAGGTTGCCCGTTTGCTGATTGTGCAAGAGGCACACTTGCCAATTGTTGTTGTTGCATAGGTGTAATGAATGATGCGCCAATACCATCTGAACTGCTGACATCGGATATAGGCATTGGCTTCTCAATTTTCTGTCGTTTCTCAGAGGGGAGTATGGACAATGAAGCAAACCCAGATGATTTTAGGCTACCATTCATGGAAGCAGCTTCTTCTGCAACAAGGGATGAAAGAACAGAGGTAAGCATCTGTGCCGAAGATGTAGAAGCAGCCAACTTCGCAGCAACAGCAGCAGCAGCTGCTCTCTTCGTTTCATCTTCACTGGTTTTTGGACCAGCAAAGGAAACCATAGCCTGGACAGGAGAAGCGATTGCGTTCTGTTGGACAGAAGATAACTTAGTATCAATCACATGGGTCGTTTCTGTCGGTACATTAATGTTAGTAGCTGAAGGACCAGGAACGGTAGTCGAAGTAGATCTCTTCCGAACATTACTTGCTAGCTCAATTTGAGATCGAGCAATCTGCAGAGTCATAAGCAATAATTTCCAACATACATAAGCAAACTGAAATTAGAAAATGCCGAACTCTAAAGCTAATTGTTTTACGTTCCCCAAAATACGTGATATATTTCATATTAGATCTCCGTCCATGTGAATGGTAGAAAACAATCAACAAGTTGACAGAGATGGATACAGTCAAACTTACATCAAACTTAAAAAGACCCCTAAAATCAAATGTGTCCACATAACTATACACTTCAACAAGTTCATTCAGTTTGATCTTTCTCCTATACGTACGTGCTACAGTAAAATTCTTATTGTGATCACTTGCTCAAGGGTGTCTATGTCCACCACCACCATGTGTCTACAATGAAAGAATTATATTAATCTGGTCCTCTGATTTAAATGTTTCAAGGCGTACCAAAGTTTTAACGTTTTGACATCCAATTTCAAGGTATTAAGGACATATCAACCCACCTTCAAACTAACTTTAGGCCAACAGGTGATCCCAAACCTAGACTCTTGCTACTTCAGAAAAGAAAATATAAAGAGAGGTTTATCTTACCTGCAACTGATTGCGAACTAGTTCCAGCTTTGATTCCTGTAATTTTTCCCAGAGAAATCAACTTTACAATGTAAGTATCTCAAAAATATCGAGGAAGCTTGCAATCAGGATAAATAATTGAAGGAAATAAAAAAGATGAAGGAAAGTTACTTGGTCCAGAAGCGCTTCTACAAGCAAGGAAACCAAAGAAGCCCTAGTTGCCTCAACACTTTCGAGTTGCCTAATACATCGTTGAATTACATTTTCCTGCTCTTGAAGGTCGTCAAGCAATGCAGACCTTGGTTGAGTTCCTATTTTGGAAGGAAAGTAAAGGGAGTGTTTCTCTTATAAAATACGTTTCAAGGAATAAGGACTCACGACACAAGCATAAAAATATAGCAGTAGGAATTCTATATGCCAGAAAAAAATAAGCCCGAGAATATTACGACCACTGCATTACAATCTATAGAGAGGGCATTAGGTGTTTAAAAATAAGATACGTATGAAATAAAATTAGGGTTTCGAAGCAATAAAAATATGGGTAGATGTCCCGTTGATTTGGTCAATGTTCCAACACTCAATTTGGATTGGAGATTTCTATCACATTCTCAGCATGCTCATTAAGGCTACAAAGGTTGAATCTTTGCATCCTTCCATGAAGATTCAACCACCTGATTATTTGATAGAATAGCTGTTAAGTGACTCCACTATAAAGCATCTCCTTAAGTGGCTGTGTCCTTTACAAATTCGTTTAGCTGGGGAAGAATTTAGATATGAAGCCTTGTGTGAGGAGTCCAGATGGCTGAATTCACAGAAAAATACCAGAGGAGTCATGATTCCAAACTACAAAGCCAGGAGTCTGATTTGGATGTATGCCTTCAATAATGAATGTGGTGGAGGATTTCAATCTGCTAGAACTGGGGAGCTATAATGTTATTAGGGGCATGAGAAGGCAGAGATCTTTTTAAAACAAGAAATAGAATTTTTTATCGAACATATGAAAAGAGACGGATGTTTGAAAGATACGAACTCCAAGAAGAGTGAAAGGAAATAAGGAACAAAACTATAAAAACACTCCAATTTCTTCTTCTTTTTTTAAATCTTTGACAAAAAGGCTAATGCAGAAATATTTGTTCTGAAACTTCTTGAATCCATAACATCTACAAACCTATAAAACATAAATGAACCAACCAACAAAGAAGTAGCGAGATAACAAACAACAAAGTCCGTCAAAGACCCTGTATTGACAAACAGAAGATGGGGCGAGCAGACGGACAGTGAAGGACGTAAGATGATAAATGACAGCCTACACAGGAGACATGATGCAAACAGCCTGATTGCAGGTCAAAATGTTGCAGGTAATGAGCTGAAAAGACAGGTCGTGGTAAGGTGGTATGAAGCAGTATACCTACCTAGGCATGGCTCTTAAATCATTGATTCAGTACCCTCAAGTTACCTAGCGCCTATGATGCATCTTAAAACACTGATATTAAGGACATAGATCTATGTACAGCACAAATTCTCAATTTAGTTTGATCTGATATCCTATACAGCGAAGTCCAACACTACTTATCACGTTACAAGGCAAAAAGTAAAAAAATAAAAATAAATAAGAAAGAAAAGCCCATCACCAAAATATTCAATTCTCATGAATAAAGAGATTTTTTTAACCATAGATAACTTCTCAATGATTTAATGAAAAAGTATAAATTGAACCTATCATAAATATTTTTAATAGCACACTCTTTACAAGCTAAAATACTTTATTATTTTGTTCTATCGAAAGTCTATATAGCATGACTAGCACCTTTTACAAAAGACCACCTTCATGATGCAAAGCTTGGCTTACATGACAACATCTTAAACTAAAATTGCATGAGATGACTAAAGTAGATGAGATTATACCTTGAGCTAAGGAAGCATTCAAGTCTTCCTCAATTTGATTCAGATGATGAGTAGCAGAACTACAGTCGTTCAGAGCAGCATCCTCAGTCAGATGTTCATCAAGTACAGATTGAAATGCAGTAAGAATCCTCTCTGGAACACCTCCAACAGCCAGTTTCTAGAGTAAACCAATAAAAATATAGGGGTCATAACACAAGAAATAAAATGGAAACTGCAATATTCCGCTGCTACCACAGCCAAGCTCTTACAATTCTCACAGAGTGGGCATCCCTCTTCACTATTTTTTTAGGATTTGAACTCTTGCCATTGCTGCTGGGTAATGGAGTTGGAGGTGGATATTTACCAAGCATTTCATCCTTAAGATTCTGACCTCGAGAACCAAAAACCTTCCTTTCTTCCCAAATGTTGACCTTAACAAACCAACTCCCATAAGGGAAACAAGGCATAAAAAAATGAGTGAGACAAATGAAATCCCAACTAAAGAAATAACACCAAAGATACTGTCACAAGAAAAGATGGGAAAGGAGGAACTGCATCTTACTATTGCAATGTAAATCAACATTACAGGGCTTGTGGTTTCAAGCAGCAAATAAAATCAAAAAATGCACGAGAGGATAATTTAGAAGGAAATGTCAATCAATTGTGATCTGTAACCAAAAAAAAAAAAAAAAAAAGATAACCTTTCATTTGCCTTATCAAAGTATAACACGCTTTCTCATAAAAAGGATATTGAAACTTGTAACACGTCAAACTCTCAGCAACATGCAACCAGTATTTAACAAAGCAAATTGAAATGACGCTGTCATGTCTATAAGCACAGAACTGTACTCAAGGTAACGCAGGTAAAGCATGCATACATATGGACTAAGCAACCAATGCACGGCACTAACATTTGTAGAGAGACAAATTTTCTGGAATAAGAAACATACTTTTCATTGATAGATAAAAAAGAACACGAGAATTCAAGCATACAAACTCCTATAGGGAGTGATAGAAGATTTTTTTGAAAAAAAAAAAAAACAGAACAATATAGCCAACCAAATAGGGAAAAATGCTCTTCAAACCCAAGGCACCGACCACTGATTCCTGAACAAAACCAGAAAAACAGGGGGGTGGGGGGTGGAGAACACGAACAACCAAGAACAAAACTCAATCTCTGCAAGAATTAGCGTAAAACAAGATCCAGATGGAAAAGTCTACCTCCAAACACCACCAACGTGAAAGAAGAGAAACATGAGAATCCATGAAGATCCTCGATGGCTAACACAAACTCTTAGGCCTAATTTCATAGAGAGTGATGCTGAATTCTTCACAATAATGCAAAAATATCTTTTTAATCGATGCAATAGAGGGAGAACAAAGAAAGTTACTAAGGGGGATATCCTCAGATAATCCAAGCTCTATCTTCCAAACCAGATTGCTCATTATTATATTCACAAGACTCTTCACCGACCACCAAGCTTGGATCAAATATCAGAAAATAAAACTACCAACACTAACATCATCATCTTTTGAAAATCTCATCAGCATCCTTCTCGAAAGCTTTCTGAATGGGCTGGTCATCCTTTTTTTTTTTTTTTTTTTTTTTTAGGATGTAATACCCATGATGTTCACAAAAGTCCTTCCTTATTCACAATGAGGGAGGTATAACTATAGGAAACTAAAATATTAGATAGTTTACACTAAAATATAGCTTGGTAAACAACATTGTCGAAGAGCTTTGTTTATGTTTTTCGTGAATACTCCTTAATTTCTTTCTTTCCACAAATTCCAAAAGAAAGTCATGATGAGATTTTTCCAAAGTAGGCTTTTTCGTTCTTGAAGGAATGGTACATTAAGGTCCAGTACAAATAATCTTTTACCTCCCTAAGAAATGTGAGAAGCCATCCGAAGATGTTGAGAATCTTTATCTAAAAATTTTGAGCATATGTGCATTGCATGAATAAGGTGGCTTTGTGATTCATATCTTTCTTGCATAGTGGATGTCAATTTGGAAATAGAGTCATGTTGGGGATTTTTTTTTATTTTTTATTTTTTATTTTATTATTTTTCTTTTTTTTGAAGATTTTCACTTGTGCTAATGACTTAATGCACTATTTTTCAAAGGAAATATCTTACCTTTTTAGGCTGATTACTGTCTTTGCAAGCATGGAATTTATTACTTCTACTTTTTTTCCTATGTCCATCATCAAAGATCTCGTAGAGAAGACCCCATTAGCAGTAAGAAGTCATGTCAATGCGTCTACTTCATTTGACAATACAACTGGGGCAAGGTCGAGGGTTAATTCGAACCATTCCGTAGCTTCATTATATTTTAGGTTCCTATAAAAAATTAGGTTCCAGAAACAGCTGACGTTATTCCACGTTTCTTTGATAGTGGTTCATTTGCTGTGAGAGAGTATACAAAAGGGCTAGCGTGGTGTTTTCAATCCATGGGTTGGTCCAAAATGATGTGCCTCCTCCATCACCCACCCACCTATGGCGAATTTGGTTGGTGATGTGAGAAAAATGAAAAAATATAAGGACATACAAAAGTAAAGTCCACGGAGAAAGTCCTACAAAGATTTTGCTATTCCTCTCACCCCTAAAGCCCCACAAAATTNCACAAATCTAAGCTTGCCAAAAAAAAAAAAAAAAAAAAAAAAAAAAAAAAAAAAAAAAAAAAAACCACTTCTCACTAAAGGGCATGTGAAGGAGCTCATTGCTCGTCTCCCTCCAACCCTAAGGTCTAACAATGCAGAAGTCAAATGCCTTAAAGAAACAACTCCAAGCGGCTCCTGCAAAAACACACCTAAAAAAGAAAAAACTTGATCAAGGTCTTCAACTTCCCTCCTACAAATAATGCAACAAAACAACCAAACCACGCTAGAAATGATGTAGGAAGGATTATCGCAATCTCTAAATTGATTCCTTTAACCAGATAAATAAGGAGTTCCTCCTAATGTACTAAGTACTTTTGATAGATAATTTAGGCTTTGATTGGATTTTTAGAAAATTCTCCCTTATGACCTCTTAGGCTACACAGGCACATCTCCAAAAATTCTAGAGTTGTCGACACGTAGTCAGGTGCTCCACAATGGCAAGAGGTGAGGCAGGTCTTAATGCTTTGCAAGTAATCAATGCGAGCACCTTCATTAAGGCACTTGCCATTTGAGACTTTTAGTCACCTTGAAGATATGTTCAAGGCGACACAAACGATCACCTTCTCTAATTGTTCAACTTTTCTTTTTCCTTTTTTAAAAATTTTGTTCTTTTAATTTTTTTTTTATTAAGAGGAGGAATCAAAGTTCATAAGTAAATAATTAAAGAAAGGAAGAATCAAGGAAGAAGAATTGAAGAAAAAGAAGGGTCAAAGAAGAAGAAGAAATAGAATAAAAGGTGGAATCTCTCTTTTTGTTCGGCCATTTACCAACGGTTTATACCAAACAAGAAGAAAAGGAATAAGAAGGTTTGAAAAATTCAGAAGTGAAGAAGAAAAGTCGATGAAAATGCTATTATTTTTACATTCCTAGAAGAATCGAATGGTAGGCTGCCACGAATAAAGAAATGTTAGCTGCACGCTAGCCAAACTACCAATTGTCAATATATTTCCTCTATAATAAATATGTCTCAAACCATGAGACCCCTATCTTTTTACCTTTTAAAAATCATTTTTCTTTCTATTTCTTTTTTCAAGTATCTTTTCTTTTTCTCAACATTATTTGAGTTAATTTCTTTTTAATCAGGAATTATTTTGTTAATATTTTAACACTTTAAAAATCAAGTATTTTCTTATATGTAATAATATTTTATTTATTATTTTATTAAGTGTGCCTTCCAAAAATCAGGTGTGTTTTTTTTGTCACCTCTCGCCTTAAGGCAATTAAAAAGTTTATCACCTAGGAGTGCACCTTGTACTTTGAAAACACTGCTCAAATCCAATCCAAGGTGTTACTCTTCTATCCATGACCTGCCACATGAACTTAACTTACCTGAGAATTTTCACCTTTCACAAGAAGGAAAAGACAAACCATTAGAAGGGGATGAGCTTACCATACGGTTAAAGAAGGAACTATAAGAAAAGTCTTTAAGACAAAGATCTCTAAAAAATAAAGCAAACTTAAATAAATGGGGAAACAAACAGCAAATGAGTCTACACTCCAATCATTTATCCTCTCAAAAGTCAATATTCCTCACATCACCCAATTTACAAAGGTAAGGGAGCTTAGGAGAAACATCTTTCCAAGAGTTTCTGGAAGTACCTTTAACCTTGCCCAAGGTCCACTTAAACGAGTGAGTACCATGCTTGCATTGACTTCATGCCATAAGGTGTTAGATTCATGATGGAAACACAACCATTAAGCCTACAAGACCTTGTTTTGTGCCCATAAATTACCTATGCCTCATCCCCCAAGGTCCACGACTTCTTCACCACCTTCCACCATACATGATGGGAACCTTTCCCCTCATCAACTTCTTCCCGTAAAAATATACCTATAAGCTTCTCCAAAGTCTTATTACAAGGCCTCTAAATAGGGACATAAAGTAGACCAGAATATTACTCGAGACTGAATATACAAAGGTGAACCAATCACCTTCCGAAAGAAAATTTGGCAGGCTTCTTTCAACTCTTTCATGCTACTAGGTCCCAAAACAAAAGACATCTAAGGATTATGGCCAAGAGAGGACCTAAATAGGAAGAAGGAAAGTCTCCCACATCATGCTTCACTAAAGCAGCCTACCCACTCAACTTGATAAGGTCACAATTTAGACCTAAAATCTAACACTTGCTTCTATTAATCTTCAAACAAGAGATAATCTCACAGAACATTAAAACTACCTTGCCTCAACCCGAGAAGGAATGGGATCTCTTCAAATGTTTTAATTATCAAAGAAAATAGACATCAATTGGATAATGTTCTAGCTGAAGCTTCTCGTCTAAAATAGGAAAAAGAATCCTCCAGCTGCCATGTGGACAGAAATCTACACAACCTAAATCAAATATGCTTCTCCCTGACACAAGATTAGACTAGCTAAGTTCAAGAGCTTGCGAATGTATGTATATCTAAACAAAAATTAGCTTATGAATTCAAAATAAGGGATCTCTTATGGATCTTGTAAATATAAAATCTTCTCAAGGACTTACTAAGATATCACATACCTACTGAAATTTCCAATATCAACTAGTGTATAGTATCATCACTAAGGCTGATTAGGATGATACAAACCTACTAAATTATCCACTATCAACAAGTGTCACATGATCAATTTACTTGGAACATCTACTGGTATAAGAAAGAGAATTGGAAATCAAATCTTGTGTCAATCAACTTCAAGTGACAAATTTTTCTTTGGTCTTACATAAACAAGAATATAAGATACGAAATGAAAAGAATGCCGGAGGCTTACCATCTCAAATTTTCTCTAAAATACTTACGACAATGATAGAATTAATAAAACCATAACCAATAATATAAGCTTTTTGAATGACAAGTTTTTGTATGAAACCTCAGCTCATTTTCCTTTCCTCTCTCACTAATAGCTATATTTGTCATAAGATCAAATCAAGAAAATTCATCTATCCCTTACAAGATTCATAGTTCCTAAATTCCTTCTTTACTGTAAGAGAACAATTATCATTATAATTGGTTAAAAATAAAATAAGAATAAAAAAAAACTAAACTAAACTTAGGTCTAGGAATGGGAGGACAAAAGGGGAAGGAAAAAGGCCCACATATTACGCTTCAAACTGAAGTATTAAACCCACATATCTAGAATTTACTGGATTATTCCTAACTAATATACAAGCTTTAAGAATTACATCAATGGTGCACCCACAGTACTCACAAAACACCATAATCAAAAACACCATAATCAAAAGACTGCTTAAGTAGAAATGAGAGTTTTATTAACAATGCCAGTCTATGAGAAGCCTTACTAGAAATGTGATACAAACTTGTCAAGCTGAATGAATTGAATCCATCCTCCTTTTCCTCTTTTATTTTATTTATTATTTATTTTTATTTTTATTTTTTTGAAGAAGGAAAGGAGGAGAAGAATTTAAAAGTCAGATACCCACGATGCAAAATTTTATACTTATGAGAAACATATTCCCAGAGTCAACTAGCTTGCCAGATATAAAAAGCCAAAAAGATTTAATGCCACCATTTTTTTTTCTACACAATTATAAAGAGGAGGACATACAAGTCTAGCAGCTGCTTTCTTTCCACTTTCATCGCCTTGATCGTAGACATACTTGAGAGCACCAGGAAGAACTTTCCAGAATTCATTCACAAATTCACTTCCCTTGCGCCTGCTGTTTTGCAAAATGTCATTTGCCAAATACAGAAATGAAACACGCTGCTCTTGCTGAGATGAGTTGAATAATTTATCCCAAGTTTCAACAATCTGCTTGGCCTTTTTCCGGTGGGAAATGCACCATCTTGATAAAGCTAATTCGATATCAACGATAAACAAATTCATAACAATTGCACCCAATAAACAGAAATTACTTAAGTATAAAAACATTCTCCCAAGAGCATACAGTATAAGAACCGCTCCTCATTTAGTATGTGCCCAACAAAAATAAAATATAAAAAAAAGTCTTCAAAGAGGGCTTCATCTAAACACAAGAACTATACCATCCGAAATGTCTTCTAACCCAGTAAATTTACTGCCAAAAAAAGAAAAGGAATAAAAGGCAACAACTACTCTATCCAAAGTTGCCAGACAAGCCAATGAAAATGAGCGACCATAAGAGGCATAAATCATCGAGTGTATTTAGAAGTCATGCCAATGCAAAAAATAAAAAAATAAAAAAATAAAAAAATAAAAAAATAATCTCAAACACAAAATCATCAGCCTATCTATGCTTAAAAACGAAGTCCCCCCTTGTCCTTCGCCTCCTCCTATCATGAAGAACTTTATCTGCAATGAGAATAAATACTATAAATTGCCTTTTCTCCATGGGGAACTCTGATTGCGAAAGATTGTTTTATAAAAAGATCCCTGATATTGTAGCTCAAACCTTTATAACGATATATGGTGTAGCCTAAGAGATAAAAGGAGAGTTTTTTCCCAAAATTAAACCAAGTATCTTTACTACAATCAAGTAATAGAATAAACCAGAGGGAGATTCTCAATTTATAAAGAATTGACACAAAAAGATGGTAAAAAGGGATTAACCAAAAAAATACCCAAGATTAACATAATCCTACAACATCAGGTTTTATATTTTATGATTTATTTTGGATCTTATACCTCACCCCAAACAAAAGTAAAGTAAGGAAAAAGAATAAAACTCACCCTGTGGTGGTGTTGTCAAAGAGTTAGCCAGCTTGCAAGTTTTTTCTTCGGCCAATGCAACCACTCACAGTTATCCCTATTTTAGAATAACCACCGCTTGATCTTTTTTTGTTATTTTTTGTAAATTGATTGAACTTCTTAGGTATCTTTTTTGTTATCTGATCAATCCCTCCTACGTATTGGGAACCCTACTGGGAAAAGAGAAAATTTAGTATAGATACATGACAAAACTGTTTTGGCCAACATAATTCTGCCTCTTCTTGACAAAGTAAGGTTTTTTCTACGATCCAAATTTCTATCAATTTTATCCACAACTGGCAGCCAAAAAGAAGACTTTTTTTGGATTACCACCAAGGGACATCCCCAGATACTCAAATGTTCTAACGCCAGCAGCATAAACCCACTCTAGCGCCGAGAGACATTACGAGAGATTAATCTTCAAATTGGACATGACCTCAAATCCAAGTACCACATTCTTCAAGTTATTAAGCATAGAATAGTCAAGGGTAGAGAAAAGCAACGTGTCGTCAGGAAAGACAGGAAAGGAGCAAGCGGATGGCCGTGCCTTAACTCCCTAGTAGCACAAATATGACCGCTCAGTCAACCATTAATCAATAAAGAGAAAAAGTACTGGTGACCCAAGCTTTAATCCAACCAATCCAACAAGTTCCAATGCCTTTTTGCTTTAGCACCTCAAGGAGACAATCTCAATCAACCATATTGTAAGTCATCTCAAAATCAATTTTGAAGACCCACTCATCCTTCTTGTTAATGAAAAAATCATCAAGTAATTCATTGGCAACCAAAATTGGGTCGAGAATTTGCCAACATGCAATCAAGGACAATAGGCTACCATTAATAGTTTCATGGAGAACCTTCTTAAGTCTCTTAGCTAAGACTTTAGCTATAAGCTTATATAGAAAGGTGATCAAATTTATTGGTCTGAAATCAACAACTTTGGTAACACGAGCTTTATTTGGTAACACAAGCTTTATTGGAAACATGGCACATATAGGTTTCATTGATACAACTGTTCAGAATGTTGCTTTCAGAAAGTCATGGAACACCCTAAGCACCTCATCTTTAATGATGTTCCATACCTTGTAAAAGGTAAATTGGACCTAAGTCGTGGGTGTTATTGCCGGCTTTCTTGAGGTTAGGAGCCCATGCCAAATCCAGATCCACATGTCATTAAAGCAATAAAGAAACCTAAAATGTAAGTTGGAACCAACTCTGGACAACAATGCTGACTTGTTAAGGTTTTACTAAGCTACCTTCCAAGGTCCTGAGTTCAAGCCCTCAAGTTGATAACAGCTTGAAGCCCCTTGCCTCTTGAATAGCACCTTGAGGCCTCCAAGCCTCCCAAGGATCAGAGGGGACAGACCTTGAGCAAGGAGTGGGACCCCAATACCTAGATTAAAATAAATTAAATTTAATAAAAATTTCAAGTTTTAATAGAAAATCACCACACTCGTAGCATATCCAGTTTCTTCCAATATCGTAAGTGGCACAACGTGAATTCGTACGTTCATAACTAGTAAATGACAAAAGTCGCTACTTTGTTTCTCCTTTCTTTTCTTTTCTTTTTGCTTTTGACGTCCATGACTATAAACACACACACACACAAAAAAAAAAAACAAAGGGTTCAAAAATATATAAAAGGGAAAAAATCTCCGAACAAAAACTGTGAAGGACAGCAGTATGATAGAGAGGGCAACGAAATATCTTCAAACAAAGAAAATGAAATAAATAAAAGATAACGATTAGAGAAAGGATACACTCAATGCTCTGCTGAGAATTGTTGAGCTTGGATAACTTCTCACCCAATACCTGCGCTTCAAAAACCTCGTTGTTCATCCCGTAACGATACTTTTGTTACATTACCCTGAACAAAAGTTCAAAAAAAAAAAAAAAAAAAAATTACTTGCAGTTCATTGAAGCCATATAAGCTCTAAAAATACTAAGCACCCAAATTGAAAACAAAAACCAAATTTTAGTGAAGCTGCGTGCCCAATGTTAGTAGGCATAACTATCATAGGCAACACAAAAAAAAAAAAAAAAAAAAAAAAAAA